TAGGGTTTGGGGGGTGGGCAGGGCTGGGGGGAGGGGGGGCGTCAAGTAACAGAGTAGGAAGGCATGTGTGTGCTGCATATGTGTATGTGTGTGTATATCACGCACATATGTGTATGTGAAAATCCTAGTTATAAAAACATCTGAAGCAGCTAGGGACTTGGCAGAAGGTCTAAGGTGTTTCTTGTCATGATCAGGTTCAAGGTGCAATGTATATAGATGGGAAACCCGAAGTCATCACCGGGGCAACTGTGGCAGGTAGGATGCAACGTCCCACAGTGTCAAGGGACACTAGCCTCCCATCAGGAAGAAAGGAGCTGGTCCCCCCCACTCTGCCCCAGCTCCTATAAAACACCTAACACTCTCCTTCCAGTACCCTCAGCTTCTAACCAACTAATCATCAAGAGGAAGAATATACAAAGCCCAAGACACAGGAGGGAGCCAGGGAGAAAAAACACAAATATTCTTGTGCCAATATCCTGCGTACACAAACCTGGAGGTCTCCAGAAATTAGGACAGGGGGGCTTGGGGTACTAGGGAAGGAAATAGAAGAGTTCCTGAGGCCTGAAAAAAGAGGTAAACACGTCACAGAACTACATGAGAGTTTCATTAGACTCTAACTAAAAACAGAGAGAGGGGTGATTACTACTTCCAGCCAGTTTCCCCATCACGATAGTCATGTAACAAACCAAGGCAATGTCGGTCTTGAGCCAGACTCACAGAGTCCCCTGGCCCTGGCCCTGGCCTCAGTACAGTGTCTCTGCATTGCTGCTCCGGGGCCGTTTGATCTTCTCGATATTTTTCAGGATCATGTCATGGAGAGTGACCTGGGAGAAGAGGGATCATGGACTCACATGTCTGTTGCGCCCCTACCTCACTAGGAAAATAAGACACCGCCACAGACTCCCAAGCAATCACTCACATAACCCGGATCTCACTCACCTGGATCTGAATTCAGCATGGCTGCCCTACTACCTCTCTTATAACCCAGGCACACCTGGGTATATCCAGGGCCCAAGAGTCTAATAAATTACATTTACTGAGCACTTAACATACCAAGAATTGCACTGGGTCCTTTAATGTGTTAGAGATGAAGAAACTGAAGTTTGAGGTTAAACTTGCCCAAGGCCACACATTACAGGTAGGACTGGTTCTAAACCTAAGCCTGACTCTATCACCCACATCTTCACCCCTATTCTATGTTGTGCCCTTTCCCATTCAGGTAGCAAGAAGGGAGATGCCCAGCTAGATACCTTCAATGACCTCATAGCTCTCAATACTCGGCTAATGGGCAGAATTTGTTCCACTCATTTTACCTCAACCCCCCACCCCCCATCTCAACCTCCAGAGAGTGGCAAGAAAATGGTAACCAGAACTAAGAGAAGCCAGAGCAACCGCGGGCAGGGACCAAGGTCACTTACATATTGATTCCTTAGCTCTGATATGATGAGCCGAAGGCTGATATATTCTTTCTCATCAATCTCTGTCACGGTGCGGCGATAGTCCTCCTGAGAGTGGGGCGGAGAAAAGGCTAGTTCCCAAAGCCTGACTGTCCCCACATGGCTCCTCCCAGGAACAGCCACTCCTCCCGGTCCTACCACTTCCACCCTCGGCCCACAAAACCCTTACTTACCACATGGGGATATTTAGCTATTTTAGAAACCAATTTGGCTCTTGTAATATAATATCTGGAAGGAGAGAGAAGAGGAGGAAGCTGCAGGAGACTCTGGACAGTGCTTACCACCTCATCAGCCCCCAATTCCTGGGCCAAGCCCAAGCAGCCCTACCTAGATATCTGGTCCAGATAAGATGCAGCTTCACTCTCAACAGTTCTTAGTTCTGCAACTGTCTCCTCCTGAAAAAACAACTGAGTCAAAAGTCACTTCCATATCACCCCAAGGCAGACCAAAGAGAAAGGGAAAACAGAAAAGCAGGGGAGATGAGATTATCTCCCAAACCTTCCTCTCCAGTTTCTAATGCAAGCACATTACCTGAATGGACACCCCAAAGTTGTTCCCATCTTCTATCCTAGGAATCAGGAGTTGTACCCACATTTTGACCTGCAAAGTGAGGAGACCAAAATATACATGAGGACCCTGGCCTTTCCTACTGAAGCCACGAAGTATACAATTCATGTTGCTGGGGCCAGATGTCAGGAGCACAGGAGCCAAAACAGACTTCCAATTCCCACATCATCTCCACGCCTCCAGCCCCATATCCATCATCTTGCATAGTTCAAGCCAGGCTATTTGGGGTCAGCCCCTGCCTCACCGTGTTGCATTTCTCGATCAGCAGCCGGATCTCAGGCTTCACTTTTTCAATAATGTCCACCAGCTGCTGGTTGCTTTTTAGCATCCCATTGGGCATCACGAACACCTTGGTTCCTGGCAGGGACGTGAGGAAGGTTAAATTATTTGGATGGAAGGCAGGACATAACACTCCACCCCTTTCTCTCTTTCCCAGACCCATGAGATGCTATGACCTCTGCCTTTTATCTGTCACAACTCTATCTATAAACCTTGACACCCCCAACGAAATCAAAAAGAGAATGCATGGATTAGCAAATGGGTGTCTAAAGTATCCCAAAACTCTGAAGAATAAAGAAATTAAAACATGCTCTGTAGACTTAATGTACCAACTATTACTGAAGAGGAAAAAATGATATGGAACTGTGACTTCTGTGAAAAATCTGTGACGTGTAGCCACCTCCAACCTCTCTCCCTTGGCAGTCCACACTAAGACAAACCCTCCCTATTAACTGGAAAATTAGGTTTACAGTGCTAAATAATGACAATGCTTGGAGGACTTGGGAATGCTAACATCTGGGAAATAAATTCAGATCCTGCTTCCTGGCCAGGAGAACACAAGATTCATCCTGCATCTCAGGGCTGCAGGCCAGGAAAGGCTGGGGTGGGGTACAGTGAAGGGAGCTCTTACCCTGGAAGGCCTCTTCACATTCATCCAATCTTCGCTTCTTGTAAGTGGGCTAAAGATACAAAAAGATGGGAATTAGCCTGCTTGACACCTACATCCCCATCATAAGCTACCCTTCAAGCAAGTTTAATCCCTTCCTCGACCCCATTATTAATTTACACACAATTTACTAAGCACACACAAGGCTTTAAGAGAAGATTCTTGGGGCCTCCCTGATGGCGCAGTGGTTAAGAATCCGCCTGCTAATACAGGGGACACGGGATCCAGCCGTGGTCCGGGAAGATCCCACATGCCAGGGAGCAACTAAGCCTGTGTGCCACAACTCCTGCACTCTAGAGCCCACGAGTCACAACTACTGAGCCCATGTGCCACAACTACTGAAGCCCACATGCGTAGAGCCCATGCTCTGCAACAAAAGAAGCCACCACAATGAGAAGCCCGTGCACCGCAAAGAAGAGAAGCCCCCGCTCGGCACAACTATAGAAAGCCCGCGTGCAGCAACGAAGGCCCAACGCAGCCATTAATTAATTAATTAATTAATTTAAAAGATTCTTGCCACAAAGCAACTTAAACTCTAGTTGGGAAGACCAACCTTTCAAGAAATATAACAAACTAAGCAATTAGGGGGAATTCCCTGGTGGTCCAGTGGTTAGGGCTTGGCTCTTTCACTGCCAGAGGCCTGGGTTCCATCCCTGGTTGGGGAACTAAGATACCACAAGCCGTGCGACACAGCCAAATAAGTAAATTTTAAAAAATTTAAAAACTGAGCAATTGGGCAGGGGGGATACTATAAAAAACAGGAAAAATGAAGCACTGAATGCAGAGTTAGGATAATTAAGGGAATAAATACAAATCCGCTGGTTCCACAAAGAAATGCAATATTCAATCAACAAACATGTATTTAGCACCTGCTATGTACTAGGAACAATGCTAGGTGCTGGGGATACAAAGATAATTAAGATAGTTTCTGCTCTCCAGAATTGCAAGTTCTATCAATGAGACAGTAATGCAGACAAAGAACAATACAGTACAGTGTCATCAGTATTATAATAAAATGTAGATATATAGCTGATAAAGACTAGGCACTAAAGATACACAAAGACTAGGACTGCAGCTACACAGCAAGAAGGACTGTTCGTTCCATAACAACACTCAAGACACTGAAACGGGTAAGAAAAGTCTTGCCTAGAGTCCTGGGGACAGACCAGATCACCTGAGGGAACCTGTAGCTATTTGTCCTATTTTTAAACTCCCTCTAACAGAGTAACATTAACATATTCACTTCATGCTACAAATGAAAATCAGGATCTAATGGAGGTGTACTTCAGTCATAACATCTGTAAGAATCCTCATTCCCAGATCCAAATCCCACTGTCCCCTCTGTATATGTTCAAACTGAGCAGGGAATAAAGAACAGAGAACCTATTGCTTCCGAACACAAAGATAAATATAGGACACTTACACCGTCCAGTCCATCATGGCTATTGGTGAGAAGAATGGGGTCAGGGACTGGGAGATTCATGTCTGAGTGGATCTGAGTTAGGTCATGGATGTTTAGGATTGGTTCCTGAAAGAGAGAAGCCCACCCCCAAAATATTAGTTTTTTCAAGATGAACAAAGAAGTCTTTCATTTAAAGGGCAAGAAGTGAGAGCGCTTTACAGTACAAAACAAAACAGAATTAACACGTGATTTGTCCCATTTGACAGAAAGACCGGGGGGCAAAAGAATGGGGGAATCTGAGGAAAAGAAAAGCGTCTCTCACCTTCAAAAAACTATCAAGTTCTAACAATTTCTTTGGGAAAAAATTTGCCACCAAGTCTTCTGCCTAAAGATGAGGGAAAATACAACCGAATTAGTAACTGTGGGAAGGTCTGTCTCTACAGGTCTCTCTCCTCTGGGGAACTCCCGACTATTAACCAACATTCATTTTTCTATTTATTTCACTCACCTCACTTGTGATCCGTTCCCTGAAAGAATCAACCTAAAATTAATAAAGAAAACAATTCACTATGAGTAAGTCAGTGCCTGGCAACAAAAGTATGGGCAGGGTGGGGAAACCCAAATCCAACTGTCTTCCCCTCACCTTGTAATCGTAATGAGAAGCTGAGAGGCCCCCAGACTGCAAATACCTTCTTTTTCTGAGGATCCATTTCTCCATCTCAGGAGAGGGAAGCCGGGCTTGAGGGCAGCACCCGCCTGTCTTCCCTCCCTCCCTCCCTGTGTCTGAAGCTGTCTGACTTTGAGAGCAGACAAAAGACAGGTAGGTGGGGGAGATGTGAGCTCACAAACGTGTCAACCACCATCCAAACCTGGCCCAGGATACGAGGCAGGCCTGATGCCAAGGGCAGGGGTAGCAGCAGCGTCTGGAGGCGGGGACGCTGCTGGGCTGGGGGACTTCCAGCTGTCACTGGCCTAAAGAACTTAAGTCCACCACGTGTCCGCGGAGGTCTCCCCGGGCTCTCCACTATTAGACGGGGTACAGAAGGCCATCCCATATTATCCTCTCCCCCGATGCTGTCCCGGGAGTGGGGGGCTGGGCTGAGCCGAGCGGAAGCTCAGGGCTGGTGTCCCCAGGGAGACAAAGACGCCGTGGGGAGTGGGGAGCGGGTCAGACTGCTCGGGGATCGAAGCGAGGGGTAAGGAGGCCCGGGCCGGTGCCGTTACCTTGAGCTTCACTTCCTGATCCACCTTCAGCAACGAGGCCATGGCCGGGCCGGGCCGTGTCCGCTCCGCTGGAGACCGGAGGCGCTGTGGGCTCCGGGGAGGGGGTCAGAGGGAGGCGGGAATGTCGGCTGCTTTCGGGACGCGGCCGCCCTCGCTGGTTCACTCACTGCTCTCTCGCTCCCTCCCTTCGTGCCGTCCGTCCGCCCGCCCGCCCGCTGCCTGTGCCTGCTGCCTGCTCCCTCTCTCGCTCGCTCTCCCGGCTTTCGCCGCTCACGCCGGAAGTTACGTCACAGACAACCGCCGGAATTTCGGCGAGGATGCGCACATGCCCTGCGCAGCCGCGCTGAGGTTCGGCTCTGGACATTCTTATTTCCCGGCTCCTCTGCGCTCTACGGGTGAAATAAAAGGGAGAGCGGCCAAGGGTGGTTTAGTGAGATCTGAGGCTCAAAGAGAGTCGGGGATTACTTGCTTCTCTGTTATCCCGGCACTCGCCTTCTCCGAAGGGACCTTCGGAGCCGCTACCGCCTCGAGCGGGGACCCGACCGACGACGCCGTCGCGCCCCCGTGACGTCGACCTGAGGAAGCCGAGGGTCCCCGCGCTGGGTTTGGGGCGTCTAGTCTGTGATTTCTGCCGCCTCCTCCTCTTGGCCGAAGCTCTAGTGTTAGGCTTGGAGCCTAAGAGAAGACAAGTCCTGTTGCACCAGGCTTCCCAACCTTTCTCTGCCATTTAGCCACTTAATCTCATACACTTTCAGACCTCAGTGATCAACTAACTGCCTGATGGATGGGCAAATTGATGCCTGGAGGCCGGTAGTGCTTGTCCAAGGCTACCCAGTGTTTCCAGAAAATCCAAGACCAGAACTCAGATCTCCTAACTTCTAGGGCAATGCTGTATCCATTTTCCTCATGGAAGTCTCTAACCCTTAATTCACCCACTCATGGTCTCTTAACATTGGTTATTTCGCTCTAAAATGGACTAGGCTCTGAGACAGCAGTGTCTCAGAGGCTAGAAATAATGTGTCAGTTATGTAAGTTAAAATTTTCTAGCAGCCACATTAAAAAGTGAAACAGGGGAAATTAGTTTTAATCATATATTTAATCCAGTTTAACCAAATATTATCATTTCATCATGTAATCAATATAAAAATATTAATCTTGTACATTCTTTTCTCATACCAAGTCTTTGAAATCCAGTATGAATTTTACACTTACTTGCACATCTCAGTTCAGAGGAACCACATTTGTAGTACTCAGTAACCATATGTGGTTAATGGCTCCTGTATTGAACAGCACAGTCCTGGGAAACCAAAGGTAAACAAGACTCACATTCTCTGGTCTCCTGGGACTTAATACTTGGGAAAGACACCAGAAAGTAAACTGACAACAAAATTGCAAAATCTGATAAATGTTAGGGAAAAAATGACTGACATAGAGAATGCCAGGGGTCTATTTTAGTTAAAATGGCCAAGAAAGTCCTCTCAGATGAAGTGACAAGCTAAAAGGGTGTAAAAGGGTTAGCTTGGGAAGAGTGAGGGGAAGAGCCTTCAAAGTTATGGGTGCAGCACAGGCAAATGCCCTGGGGAAGGAAAGTGGTTGTCCAGTTGAAGAAATTTTTTTAAAGAGCATATTTATTTATTTATTGGCTGCACTGCCACCAGGGATCAAACCCGTGACTCCTGCAGTGGAAGCGTGGAGTATTAACTTTTGGACCACCAGGAAGTCTCAGTTGAAGAAATTGAAAGACTAGTTAGTTAGTTGGGGGTGGGAGTGGGCTGAGGAGGGTTGTTAGGAAACAATTTGGATTAAGTGCAAAGGCAGGTCATCTGATTTACATTTTATCCTGAGCACACCTCTGTGTTAAGAGCGAGGGAGGGACTTCCCTGTGGCGCAGTGGTTGGGAATCCGCCTGCCAATGCAGGGGAGATGGGTTCAAGCCCTGGTCCAGGAAGATCCCACATGCCACGGAGCAACAAAGCCTGTGCGCCACAACTACTGAGGCTGCGCTCTAGAGCCCACGAGCCACAACTACAGAGCCCGCGTGCCTAGAGCCCATGCTCCCCAACAAGAGAAGCCACCGCAATTAGAGACCTGCGCACCGCAAAGAGGAGTGGCCCCTGCTCTCCACAACTGGAGGAAGCCTGTGTGCAGCAACGAAGACCCAACGCAGCCAAAAATAAATAAATTTATTTAAAAAAAAAAAAAAAGAGCAAGGGAGATGGCGGGAATACACAGTTAAATGAAGTGTGACTGACTATGGCCTCTGGAATCAGAGAAACCTGCCTTCAAAGCCCACCTCAGCTCCTTACTAACTGTGATATCTTGGGAAAATTACTGAAATGCTGAGTCTCAGTTCCCTCATCTGTAAAATGGAATTTTAATTATTATTAACAAATAGTATGCAATTTTGTAGGGTTGTTATGAATACTGGAAATCACATATATGTAAAAGAACTAGCACAGTGCCTGGATACAAGGCAGGCACTAGATAAACAGTAGCCATTATCAGACAAGCTACCTGTTCATGCTTAGCATGAACTTACCTCATGCTTACCTTAAACTATATAATTATTATCAGCCCCATTTTCAGACTCAAAGTTCTTTTCCACTTATTCAAGACCGCATACAACATAGCCCATACTACCCATCTTGTGTATGAACATCTAACGGTTTTCCCCCTTTTACCCCGGCTTTCTGTTACACTTGTCCCTAGTAACTTTTCAACTCTGATCTGGAACTTAACTTCAGGAATGCTTTCCCAAATTAACTACATCCTATTTTAAGTGTGCCATTACCCTGCATTTCTTTCAGAATTGATAACTTCAGCTTGAAAACTTAATGTGTTTCTGCTTGTTGAAATATGGCTTTGTTCTCAAAAAATTGTATTTTCTCTTCAAGTAGGGTTGTAAGAAGACAGATACACATTCCTTTTTTATTTCCCTTTCTCCTCCCTTATCCAAGTGTTTTATGTAATGTGCACTCATTTGTTTATTTTTTCAGTGAACAATTGCTGAGGGCACCACTACATTTAACAAACTATTCATTCCTGGGTGCTTATGAATCAAACATGATAACTGATGACTGGTCTTATTTTAAATTCATGTCCACAACATTCAAATGGGTGCTCCTGGGAGTCTCAGGTGTTCCTTGGCTTGGAGACAACCATCTTCTCCCTGTGTCTCTTCACATGTCTTCCCTCTGTTCATGTCCACCTTTGTGTCCAAATTGCCCCTTATTATAAGGACAACAAGTCATACTGGATTAATGACTTAATGACCTCATTAACTTGATCATCTGCAAAGACCCTATTTCCAAACAAGGTCCCACTCACAGGTACTGGGGGTTAGGACTTCAACATCTCCTGGGAGAACGCAATTCAACTCATAACACCTACCATTATCTGAAATCACCTTATTCATTTGTTTACATGTTTATTGTCAAATTCTCTCCTCAAGGATATAAACTATTACAGCAGTTCACCAGTGTATCCTCCCAGACCTAGACAAGTGACTGGCACATAGCAGGTCTTCAATAAATATTTGTTGAATTGATGACAATATGTTGATTATTCACAATCCCTCAGGCACTACACATACTGATTGTCATATATTCTCCAAGCAGCAGAGCACACGGAGAGTTTACTACGTGCCGGACATTGCTCTTTGTGCTTCATATTATTAGTTCATTTAATCATCACACTACCCTATGTGACGTACGCTATTGTTCTTATTTTAATCTTTTCTCTCTTTTTTTCTTTTTTTGGCCGTGCCGCGCAGCATGTGGGATCTTGGTTCCCCAACCAAGGATCGAACCCATGTCTCCTGAAGTGGAAGCACGGAGTCCTAACCACTGGACCACCAGGGAATTCCCTATTAATCTCATTTTACAAATATGAAAACAAGGTACAGAGTGGTTGAATAACTTGCTCAAGGTCAGGGTTGGTAAATGACAAAGACAGACTTCCAAACGCAGAGTTGTCATCTCTATAGGCCCTACCTCTCCAGAAGCCCTTTACGTCTCCCCGCCTTTCTGAGATGGTGTTAGTGGCAGCCACACAGGAAGAAATGTAGGACTATGAATCCGCCACACGAGGCCTAGGTGAAAATTCTTTGAGGATGATTCCACCCATCTCCTCTAGAGGGGGCCTCATGCTGAAAGGTCCCAGAGCAATAAGGGTTGTAAAGACGATCTCTAATTAGCAATACCAGGAGAAAATCAATCTAGTTCCACATATTACATGTGATGTTAATTATAGGAGGATCGTACACATTTAAAATATTAATAGGAAAGTCACTTCTGGAAGTGGGAACAACTTTCTAAGCAATATAAGTCATCAAGAAAAAAAGCAGATTTGAATTCATAAAACATAAAATGTCTGCACATCTGGAAAACACCTTGGTTAAACAGACCATTCATACAAATTAATGAAACATACTGAGAAAAATACTAAGAACCTAATAGACAAATGAGCAAAGGACACAAACGAATTTCACAAAAGAGGAAAACCTTCACAAAAGAGTCAATATTTACAAGTAACCAATGATATATCAACTAAAATAACAAGGAAGTGCCATTGTTTTGCCCTCGTTCCTCAACTATATGATATCTAATACTGGCCAAGGCATCGTGAAATAGGCTCTCTCATACATTACTGGAGGTAGACTATAATTATGTGCAACCACTTTGGAAAACAATTGCTAACGTTAATCAAGAGACCTGAAATAGCCAAACTCAGTAATCCCAGTTGTGAGTTTCTATCATTAGGAAACAGTAAGCTCTTCACTGCAGCATTATTGTAATCACCAAAACTGGAAGCAATGGAAATTTCCAGCAACTAAGAAACACATTAAGGTAGCACACTTGATGCAGTGTAATGCAGTCATGAGAATGACAATTACAAAAACTGTATAGTGACATGGGAAAATATTTATTATGTAATGTTAAAGTTTAAAAGCAGGATACGAAAACTGCATATAGATTACAAACATAAATACAACCTTGTTAAAATACATAGGGAAAAAAACATCGTAATGGAAAATATAAAAATTATAATGTGGTGAGATTATGGGTAATTTCCTGACACTATTGCCCTAACTTCCTGTATTGCTATATTCTCTTTCTGTAAAAAGTTTAATTTTGCTGTAAATGAATTATAGGCTTATTGTTAAAAAAAAAATCTAACAATACAAACTTGTACGAAGTAGAAGTCTCTGTCCCCTTGTTCAGTGAAGGACGCTGCTTGCTGTACATCATTTCATATAACATAACATTTAACATGTCATGTTATATACCACATATGTTACGTTGTTTTCTGCACAAATGGAATTGTGTCATGTTTACTGCCTATAACTTTTCTTATTTCAACTGATAATCATCTCTTGCCTCAATTCATGCAAAACCTCCCAACTGGTCTCCCTGCTTCTACCCTTGCCCTCCTTCAGACCATTCTCAAAGTAGTCAAATGAACCAAGTAAAAAGCAAGTTATTTCATTCTTTCCAATGGTTGCATAGTATCCTGCTGA